CGGAGGGTAAAGCTGTGCAAGGCTGAAGTGTGCTCTCTGTTGTGTTTTTCCCGACTCCGCGTATTCGGGAGTTTATGGCCTTAATCTTCGTGGTCTGAATAGGTGTTACCAATCTGTTGTTGCACAGCCTTGGGGCTCTTTGTGTGGCAAAGGCCGTGCTAGCATCTCCTGCTTCCCGCTTGAACGGTGGAGATAGCTTCAAGTCATCAGAGCTTATAGATCAGGGTGTTTTATACAATGTGTTTCCTTATGCTAATTTTTTTAAACATGTGATGTATAGTAGTTGTTTTTCTTAAGTTCTAATGTTCTGCTGTATTGAACTGCCAATAATCTCCTAGCTTCAACCTAGAAAGTAAAAGTTATTCAAAACTCAAGTAGTACCTTGTTTAGCATTTACACAGGCCTTTTTCTGATTTTCCTATTTCCAGAGTCATTCATGAGTCTGATTTAGGCGAAGGGTGCTTCCTCAGAGCTTCCTGGCAGCGGTGTTATTTTGCCCCAAAATGAAGCAGCTTGACCATGTGTCCAAAGCATTGCTGTGACAGTGTCAGCGAGGGAAGAACTCTCCCTCTGAAGCCAGCCGGTGTTTTATAGATCAAAAGTAGTGTTTTAGGCAAGGGAAGCTGCCAGTTAATGCCTACCATAGGGCATTGGTGTTTCAGGTTCAGCCTCCTGACATGTTACTCCAGCAACAAACTGCTCTTGACAACTCTTTTCATTTTTGTCCAGAGTTATGTGAGGGAGAATCAAGGTTAGTGACCTTAGCTTATTGTTGTCCTATCTTTTTCTGTGATGTGCAGCTTTTCGAAGAAGTTCTGAAGGTTTTTTGGCACTAAGGTAATAAAGATTGCATCGCTTCCGTGTATATCCTTGTCATGCCCTTTTCCTGACAGCAGATTATTCCAGTGTTGTTATTCCAGTCTTGCAACTTTAACGGTGATATTTCTGATTGTGACAGAGCTTATGCAACAGTGCAAGAAGTGCAGTAGGAGTTGCATCTGAGCATCACTAGCTTGTGATCTAACTGCTCCTCTGAGTCAAGCAATAAGGAAGTTGACAGAGTAGACAAATGGTCATCCAAACTCTTCCATGTAGCAAACCATGATCCTTTATCACTTGATCACTCATGCAACTTCTGGCTATGAATCCCACCTGTCCAATTCACATTTCTGTTTGTGGGGGGAGTGTTGAGTTTTTTTCAGAGTAACCTTCAGCGTTGACCTTGCATACTGCTCAGGTACAAAACCCACGATAGATGTAAGTTCTCTAGTGTAAATTTGACAGCTTCTTTCATACAGGGTATCACTTTTAGCATTAGTTTGAATTCAGTACTTTTTCTAGTGCAGACAAAACTTTTTGGTGGCTCTTTCAAGGGCTGTTCCTTAAAAAAAAATTAAAAATTATTACAATCATCTGGCTTTTTTCCAACCTCATCCTGTCTTTTTCCAGATAAAATAAGGTACAAAACATTCTGAAGGATCGAGTTCTTTCTAGGTGTTTGTTGGTATTGTTCATTTTGTTTTTCTATATGAGTGGTAGCAGTAACACGCAAGATACCATTTTGCAATGTCTGTGGCTTGTGAAAACTTGAAATGAGTAATATATTGCCTACTGGAAAATGCAATCCTGAACTATTAATAAATTGACTTAGCAGTTCAGTATTCAATTATGTCATAGCCTCCCCTTCTTCTATGCCTAGCAGTAGTCTTTCTGCATTTCTTCACCTTTCAATTTTATAGATGCTTTCGGTATCCTCTGGAAGTACTCTTTTCACTGTGTTGATACCTGTTATTGCCTGTGATCTTCATGCTTCTCGTGGTGTGACTTTGTAACCATCTTTGCATAGCATTCTTGTTTTTAAGAGCACAGAAATCTAACACAACTTTATTTTGAAGCTACTTGTTGCCTCCCCACCTATATAACTTTCTGTAATGTCCTTGTCTTCTAGAGCTTCCAATAAAATTTCTGTGATATTTTTGCACTATGATGATAAATTCAATTTTTGTAATGTTACAAATAAGCGACTGGTCTGATCATGCTTTTTGTTTGTTTGTTTGTTTTCCCACATTTTCACAAAAGAAAATAAAGAATAAGCCTTTTCTTAGTGTTTAGGCTAATTTGGTTTTGCACAGTATTGATTTGGGTCTTTCTAGAAATGTATCCAATTAAATATTTTTCACTTTTTCCCAAACAATTCAGAGATTCATAACTATTGAAGGATGAAAGAGAGTAAAGCAGCCTTTTAAAATCAAATTAAGACATGTTTTTTTTTCACAGTATGAAGGCATTCTTAGAATAGCTGTAACAATGTATTTGGGCACTAAACTTAGAAAAGCAAAGTTACACTAGAAGAGAATAAATTTGTGATGAGTGTTGGGAAGAAAAATAAATTTCAGATAGTCTTCTGAGTTCTATCTATCCTATTTGGAATATAATAACAATAATCACTAAGTGTCCACAGCAGCAGCTTACTAAAAGAAATCAGACATGAATCCAGACATTATCAAAATATTCTGGTAGATATTGATTAATAGGTAGATTGTTTTTAAAGTCTTGCTAAATCTGCATGTAAGTAAACATTGGCTAGATAGAATATTCGCTAGTGGTCAAGAAAATCAGGTTTGATGAGTGTGTGTATGAATGAAAGAAATTTATATTGCTATGTCTCTGTGAACATAATTTTTAGTTATGCTTAATTATTTTTAAATACGCAATTGTGCGATACTTAAAAGTGGATACAGCAGTTCACTCGCAATCAGTGCTGTTAAAGCCTGCGATTCCTGATATAGCTGTCAGTTCATGTGAGTGCTGCTTGCCACAGGAGCAAAACTTAAGGTAGCCATTGTAGTAATTGTATGATACTTGATGTGATACTGTTTCTAAAGAGGGATTCTACATTTAATTTTGTGCTGCAGTCAGACTAGTAGCTTTAGGATGCTTACGCCTCATGTTCTTTTTCTCTTTAGCAAATGCTTCAAACCGTTGCAGGGCTTGGATGGAGGTCACATTCTAGTAAACCTGCTCAAAACTTACATATAGGCAAACCTGGAGCTGGCTTTAGCTTTGGTAAGTATTACAGGTTTTGAAAGAAATATAGCAATTAAGGGCAAATTGCAGAGTTTAAAAAAAAATCTTATATTGCAGTTCAACATGAATTTAAAATGAAGGTGCTTATTCTAAATAGATTTCTATTCTTTAAGAAAAATAATGTTTGAAAACCAAAATTACTTTCTTCCTCAGCTCAGGCGAGTCAGGTATGTGGGTAGTGTTTATAAGATTTTCTTCTTCTTTTAACTCATGTCTGTCTTAAGGTTTTTTATTGTCAAAGTATCTTAGCTTTGAATAATTATCTCACATTGCTCTTTATAATGTTAGAGTAACTAAATGTAGTCATATTTGAACTTGATTATAAGGAAATGTGTCCTGGTTTCAGCTGAGAGGGTTCATTTTCTTCACAGTAGCTAGTATGGGGCTATGTTTTGGATTTGTGCTGGAAACAGCCTTGATAATATAGAGATGTTTTTGTTATGTGGACCTGTTGTTGTTGAGCAGTGCTTACACAGAGCCAAGGCCTTTTCTGCTTCTCGCACTGCCTTGCCAGTGGGACGGCTGGGGGTGCGCAAGGAGTTGGGAGGGGACACAGACAGGACAGGTGACCCAAACTGACCAAAGGGGGTATTCCATACCATGTGACACCATGCTCAGCATAAAAGGGGGGCTAGCTGGGGAGGGGCGGCAGCAGCTCCAGGATGCGTGGCTTGGGGACAGTCCGGTTTCGGGACAGGGCTGAGCGTGAGGTCTGAGGTGTACGGTTTTTTG